GTGTGAGCGAGTCCCTCATCGCCGCGGATGCTCACTCCAGCAGGTAATGCTGCAGTGAAAGGAAACGTTGTCAATTCTTTCACCAGGGCCCAATTTAGCAGGAACATTCAACTGACGTATTTTCCACATAACACCAGACTGGCTCCTACCTCCATCCATCTGTCAAAGCCCAGCAATTGTTTCCGTGGCAGTGGTATGGAGACATCATTTTGTCAGTGCTAAAACAATGACATATTAGGAGCTCAGATTTTTGAGGACACAGTAAAATAAGCCTATTTTAATACTGAATGAGTAAAAGGTAGGTTTTAAGTGCCTTGACTTCTGGTAAAGCTGTTCTCTCTCCTGACTACAGTGGTAGCCACAGTGACCACTGCTCTGCAGGGCTTTGAGAATATAATACAAAGGAACTGTGCAGCTCATTTCCATCATCTATTTAACTATCGATTTAATTGTATAATCAAAGAAAGAGTTTGTATTTTGGCACATACCGTCAAGCCAGATGTTGCTGTCTCTAAACAAGCCAACACTTTGTGTTGCTAATCCAGTGTCATGAATGCACAGATGGCTTTTGGAAGGGAATTCAGTTACCTGTTGGAGAGGTTCTAAATTTCCATCAGGGCAGTTGGATGAAAGAGAAAAGGAAAGAAAAAAAACCAATTCTGTGATGACCTGGCCATAAAAATTGCTTCCAGGGCTGCATTTTTATTTAGCTGGAAATCCTTACAATCTAGGATCTGTGGGAATGGCATGAAACTGTGTCAGGGGAGGTTTAGGCTGGATATTAGGAAAAGGTTCACACAGAGAGTGTTTGGGCACTGGAGCAGGTTCCCAGGGCCATGATCACAGCCCCAAGTGTGCCAGAGCTTGAGGAGCATTTGGGCAATACTCTCAGGCACATGGTGAGATTCTTGGGGCTGTCTTGTGCAGGGCCAGGAGTTGGACTTTGATGATCCTTGCAGGTTTCTTCCAGCTCAGGATATTCTCTGATTCTGTGATCCATTTTTAGCAACAGCTGTGAGACCAAAAGCATAGTCACAATAAAATGGCATGTTTGGGTTTTTTATTATTCCAAGCACTGCAGTCACGTGCTAAAGTTGTCATATACATGAAGGTGATCTGAAGAGAATTGGTTTTGAACTGCAAAGCATAATCATTCTCTCAAAGCCCTCTGGAAAATAACAGAGGAATTTTCTAGGCAAGGTGAGTGAGGACATATTTTCTTACTCTATGAGCTGCTTATGGAACTCTGTATACAAACAAAAAGCCACAAGTCATGTATCACATCTTTAAGAGAGTTGAGGGTCTATGCAGTTTACAGATGAATGGAGAAAATGGTTGTCAGTACCAGCATGTGCTGCTGGTTCCTGGCTTGAATGGACATGATGGCAGCAGCAGCACATAGTGGGCACCTCCTCCCACAGCTGGGACTCAGAGCAGTGTTCAGGAACATGAAAAGCCTGGACTTCAGGGATATTAATCGTGTGGTTTAGGTTAGTCATAAGCATAATTACCTTGCTAAATTGAAGTACACTGGGATAAGTATATAATAATTAATGCAAGGCAAGGACAGACTGTTGGAAGCATGTGAAATGCCATCGGTCCCCTTGCTTGTTTTCCTTTGGTCTCTGAGTGCAGAGAAATAGCCTTACTTCTTAAGCCATAAAGCATCCACATTTGCAGGGTAAGGACAAAGATGTGCTGAAACAGAGTAATAAATTTCAAATAATCTTTAAAAAATAGGAAAGAGCAGGGATTTGTTTTTATCCAATAATGAAAAGCAATCCGGGTGTATTTCACTCAGTAAAACCTTCCTGATACAATCACGTGTGGTCCTTTCCCATTCTCCCTTTCCTACTTTGTCAATCCCTTTGGCAGAGGGTTGCTTTGACACTCGATTATAACCCTCAAGGAACACTTCTAGCAGCAAGATCTGACAGCCTAGCGAAGTTTTTCCTGGAGAAGACATGGTCTCACTGCCTAAGACCATGAGGACTTTGTGAATGTGTATGATACATGAAGCTGTGTGGAAGTTCAGTGGAAAATGATGATCTTAATCTCTCCAGATTTAAAGGGTCTTAGTGGATCTGTGCTCACTAGCTGATAGTTGCTGTGTGAGACAAAGAACCTCAGTTACTTCCCTTCCTCCCAGGTGGGGTAACATTGCCTATGTGGGTGGTTTCATTGCTCAATGGTGCAAATGGTGATTTGTAGTCCTTGCTGCTGGATCCACGTTTGGGTAAGTCAGCCCAGCATACATCTCTTCACTTGCCCTGTCAAAGTACATCCTTAAAATATGTTCAGATTCGGCAGCCTTAGATGTCTCAGGCTTTCTAGCTGTAACAATGAAATATTGCTAAATGACTGTGCTGACAACTTTCAGGTATAAGGGAAAAAGATTTCAGTAAATCAAGCAGTGACTTTCAATTAAATGCAATCTCTTGAATTACAGTTTTGGTCTCAACTGCTGAGTTTCTCACTGCACAGGAGAAGGTTCATGCTGCTCTGTTATACCAGAGACAAATAACTTAGAGTTCTTCTTGCGTGTGAGGAAAAATAAGTTTCCTTCAAACTTTTATTGTGGATCACCTGCTGGACTTCTGCTGAGTGCAATGTGAATCTTGATTTTGTTCTAAATTGAATCTGAATTGAGACATAGCATGTGTCTTTCAACATAATGCAATCTCTTTAAATGATGAATATCAAGGTGAGGAGTGATTTAGGTTGAGGCACCTTGGTGGCTGCTTCTCTGAGGACAGGGAGTCAGCAAGTACTTCCTGAAAACAAAACTCCTATAAGTTGAGGACCTGAAAAATCCTAAGTGTCTTTTTGAACATCTAGCCCCAAAAGTACTGGTTGGCTTAACCTCATGGAGACTGGAACTAACTTTCAGCTGTCAAGTGAAGATGCTAGGCTGCTTCTGGTGGGGTGAGTGGCCAAGTTCTGCCATTTCTAATGCACTGTTCAACCTCAGAGTAACTTACAAGATGTTTACTAAGTGTTATGAAGTAGGTAATGTTATCCTAGTTTGATTAGTGGGAGAAGTAACACCTGGAGTCTTGAAGCAAGTGGAACAAAGTCATGGGGACAGTTGTGTGGCCATTAGATCGCTGTTTTCTCCATTAAAAAGTAAGTAGATGAAGGTGAATGGCTCTTTAAAGGTCTGAGAACATCTAATAGGCTCTAAGAAGCTCTGTAAAGAGCTCACCAAAAAATGAGGAAGGGCAACACAGTGCTTAGACATCATATAGGTCTTCATTTTTCAAAGTCAGCTTGTGGGTTTGCTGTCATAGACTGTGGGTTGTTTATTGCATTGGTTGGATTTGTAGGACTTCATTGCAAGGTGTGACTATGTGGTAAGGTGGAACCTCAACTTGTGTGTCCACCTTGTGTCAGGGTTACCTCATACTGGACAGAGGAGAAAGGGAAAAGCCTCTTTGAGAAAGATCGTCTCGAGGGTGTTAACTGCTGGTTCAGTCACTAGTCTGCTCGGTGGGTAAAAATTAAACTTGAACGATCTAAATATGCTGAGAGAGGATTTTTCTGTATCATTCTATATTCTATGCATCTCTTCCTTTGCAATCTTTGTAGTTAGACCTGGTGACTCCAATACAGCTTTAAGTCTGTTGAAGGTTACATGAGGTCTAGCTTCCTCTGGAAAAGAGTGCTGACTTGATTCCTGCAGTCTTTTGAATCCTGAATACACTCCTTGCTTTGGATTATACTTTCATGTTGTTGGGTATCTTGTTATTTGCACAAAGTGTACTGGAATGACTCATGTTGCAACAAAAAAATGTCATCCTCTGAGATTTCTGCCATATTTATTGCACATTTGGTGCCTTACACATGGGGTTTGTGTCTATTTTTGTATTCTTTTCCATGTGAAGTAATTGCAATTATATTAAATCCTTCTAAGTCATGGCAAGGTCAGTGACTACTCTGGGTATATGTATATTCTGAAGGTTGAGGTAAGATGGTCAACAGTTGAAGTAGCAGCTGCAAAACAAGTGGTGGATGATTCCAATGAACCATGAACACACATTTATACTTGCCAAAATGGCCTGTCATCTTGACTTTCAGTGGGAGAAGAAGACTCTTGTGCTGCTCATGTGTTGACCTCTTACAGAGACACCTGCAGTAAATTTGGGAGTACATGCAGGCACACTGCCAGATTCCAACACTGCACTCTTTTCTGTTGTTTGCTGATTCTTAATCCAGTCCTTCAAACTCTTACTCATTGAATATGATGTCCTACTCACTGGAAAACTTTTCATCTGGTACCACTGGTGTTTCTGGGATTGGGGTCTTCTCTGCTGCCTCGTGCCTCTAAACAGCCTCCCTGAGAAATGTGGCATCTTCGAGTTATCTGCATGTAGCAGAAGAGGGAAAAGCAACTTCTTTGAAGATGTGGAGATTCTGACCTGGTAAAGCCTTAAAACTGGAATCTTCAATTCTGTAGCAGAAGTATTCATTCAAAGGACCTATCAGTGACCGTGGCTTCGTTCTGTACAAGAATCTCAAGGATCATTCTGGAGGATGGGAAGAGGAGGATCTCTCTGGAGAGGCTCTCAGCACTGACCCTGGGAGGCAGTGGTTCTTCAGCCCTCCTTTCCACCCTAAGGGGGTATGGTGACCTCTCTTCTGGCCTGATTCAGTGTCAGTGCTCAGGAAGAGGCCCACGTGAGTACCAATTCCTCTGACTGTTCAGACCCTATGGATGGAACTGTGGGGCTAGGAATATACCACAGCACGGGGCTCTCATTTCTTCAGGGGAAAGACTGGTTTTCATACAGCACATTTTTAACTATAAGGGGGGAGAGAGTGAAGTATTTATTTACTTGCTTATTTCCTTTATTCTGAGCAGAGCTGAAACCTTGAATTTTGCCGTGCGCATCCTTTCTGCTGCTGAGTCGTTTGTATGCGTTTCACTGCCAGCCTGTCTGCAAGCCCCGCGGTCCTCCAGGGACTTTACAGCCAAACTGATGCAAACTCTTTCTTCTCAGGTGCCTCACGATCATCTGTCATCCAATGCAAGCCAGGAGGCAACTGCCCCAGCAGACACAGAGGCATGACTAGGCAGCTCTCCCCTCTATCTGTTGCTGAAGATTCTGCTGCTCCCATTCTTGAGCTGCAGAATCGAAGTCCCTCGGGAATCTGTCGGCACAGCAGAGTCGAGAGGCAGAGCAGATCAGGTAGGCACAACAGCCGCATTGCCGGCGCCGCCGCATGCCTGCGAGAGGCCTCTTGAGTCTGTCTCTTTGGGGCAGAGTCTGAGCATGTTGACAATAAAAGTCCTTCCTGTGCCTGTGTGCAAACTGGGGTTAGGAGGGAAGGAAGCAGGATGGGAGGACAAGGCCTGGGATTCAGCAGGTACATGTAATGTGTAAGATATCTGAGACATCTTATCTCCAGTAGGCACAGAAGATCTTGCAAGTTGATTAACCTTAGCACACAAGTTAGTTTTTGCAAAGTGATTGTGTTTCCTCAGCTTCAGCCTGGCCAGGCTGTTCCTTCTGGCCACCCAGTTCCTTCTCAAAGACAATGACAACCACAGCTCATACCATGGATGGTCTGATGAAGAGGAAGAGAAGGAGCAACAGGTGGAAGGATATCTAGGGAAGACCATCACAGTTCAGATCATCGATCAGCTGCTCATCAGGGCTTCCATCAGGAATGTGTCACCCATTTTACTGCAGAAGATTAGCTCAAATCAACTTGTAGGTATTATGAACACTAACTTCTTCACCATGGTGTCTATCCATCAGCAGCAGGGATGGGATAGGAGCAATTTTAACATGCAGCCACAGGCCTTTGAGTCTGCTGAGGAGGAGAGAGAGATTAAATGACTGAAATAACTTAACTGTCCAGGTCCTTTGCAGACTGCCTGTGTAGATACTCTGAGCAAAAAGGGGAGGAAGAACAGGTTGGATCTCCCTTGTACACTGGAACTGGGGAAGATGAACCTTCCTCTTGTCAATTCACCAACAATGGCAGCAAGAATCAGCCCTGTTCTTCTTGTGTTGGAAAACAGAGGGATCTCATACTCCAGGAGTACTCTCTTGATGGAAAGCCTCAAAAAAGGTATTGGAGGTGATTATTGCTGCAAGGATTGGATGATACAGCAGCTTGCACTAAAAATCAAAGCTAAGAGAGCAGAAAACTGATCTATTCTCATTTTTGCAGATATCAGGCTGAAATAAGTCTATGCTTGCTGGCACTTGAGTACCTCCAAAATCAGAATCCATCTTCTCTAAGAAAGGACTTTAGGCCACTTGAGTAGTGCCTTGACACCATATTCTTCTAAGCATTTATTTCGCATTTATTGATTTCCCTTTTTATGCTGATCTTCTCTTCCTCATCAGTGAGGTCTAAGTAGGACTGACCTAACAGGTAGGTAAACAAAGAATACTGTTTTTTTAGGGTGCAGTTGCCAAATAGTCAAAAGGGTTCAGATGAAAAGCTGTAGGTTTTGATTTTCCTCATCTGACTCTTCTGAAAAGCAAAAGCAAAATGCTTTTCTGTTACCATCTTGTCACAGAGACATCCCAATAATAATTACACTACAGACCAAAAGACCATGCAGGGGTATCTCTGCTCACTGCCTTTCACATAGTTTGCTTTTATCCAGTGTCATCTCCTCGTGCCACCTGCAGTGACATCTGCATTTTGATCTGTCATTTCATCCTCGCTGAGTTCTCAGATTGTTTCTGTGCTCTTGCCAGAGTAAGTCAATTGGTTTGTTTCAGTCCAACCTAAATGCAGACTCCGAGGATTTCTCCTGCCTTGCTAATTGCAAAATGCTGTCTACCAACCACTTTGGCTGATCAATTTGTTGTCTCCTCATTAGCATATCATTTGATGTCTGAACAAAGGTGCTAATTCCTAGCTTGTTCCAGCCCCATCTTCCTGACTTGGAAATCCTTAAACCTCTTTAGCATGATCTGTGTGCCTGCTCACCCTGTGTCTTTGAGTTCAAGCCCTGTAATTATTTTTAAAGATGTTTCTTACCTTCTCCTTTTGATTCTTTGGCCCAGAGTTAGGTGTGCACATCCCATGGATTTTGAAAGCAGCTGTCAAGTTACTATGTCGCTTTGGCTGGAGATCACTCTCAATTTCACTTAAATGAAATGCAAACATCCAGTCTGGGGAGAGATAAGTGCCTCCAGTGGGCTTAGATACATATACAGGGATAGAATCAACTACCCTCTTCTCATGCCTTTCCATTACCATTACAGGGGCCCTAGACAACATGTTTAGCCTGAATACACAATTCTTTGCTAACTACATCACATGGGATGAATTCCACTCATTAAGCACTTACAGAAACTCCCCACTGTTCATTTAATCAGGCTAAAACTTATGCAGGTCTTTAAACCCAAGGTAAACCTTGCAACAAGTTTGTATTTCTGTGCCTTTCCCTAATGTTCAGACTGTAAAATCCAAGTCAAATGCCACTGGCAGTGTCATGCACAGTAACAGCAATCACATCATTAGTTAGTGACTGAAAAATAGAAAACACAAGGTGCTTTATTCTTCTATCATTTTATGATTATTTTAACTGTTAGCTGAAGAAGGACTAATTGCATGGTGGTTTTGCTTAGCAGGAAGGCCTGCAAGTGGATGGTACATTGTATATTCTTTTTAATCCATTCTAACTTGCAAATAAACTGCAATTTACCTTTTAATAGGGGGTGTCAGTCATTATTAGGCCCATAGAAATATCTATTTTCTCTCAGCAGCCAAAGAGAGTGCTCAAAGGATACTTGTCTTTTCAGACCCGTGGCTGATTATCCTCTGCATGTTTTTAATAAACCTGTAATTTTACTTGAATTCTTTCATCACCACTAAACAATGGAGCCATCAAATACTGATTATTTTTAGCAAAAAACACAGCATACAATTACAACTGCAAAAAGCTCCATGTCCTGGTTAGGAAAATTCTTGATTACAAATGTGCTCCCTGCTATGATGAATTTTTTTCAGATGTGATGTTGGTCTAAAGTAATAACTTGGAACCTCAGTTTGATATTTCTTTGTGGCTGTAGCAGAAATGTTAATATAAAAGGAAGGTAAATGTGAGTCTGGAACAGGACCTTTGTCACATTTAAGTTGTGTGTAGGACAGTGTATGCCCTCACTGCAGTGGAGCTATAGCTCCTCTTAAAATCATGTTGTTTCTCATATATATCACATCATGTGTTGATGTAACTGATAATTGATAGTAGTAGTTAAGAACAGCTTCAGGTCATGATTTTTAGATGATTTTTTCCTATTTCTTCTATCACACTGATGTGATATGGTCTAACAGGGTACATGGCTGGAGCTCAATGCTGCCATGTGAGCTCATGGGGCAGCAGTGTTAGTGCTCCTTGTTGTTTTCAGCTGGGATCTATAAAACCAAAATAGGGTTCATGGGTTACATCTCTGGGAGATGTGTCTGGAGACCAAGTTGTGAGTCAGGGAGATTAAATTGCCTCCATTCTCTTAGGAAATCTGCAGTGGTCTGCAGGTCAGGTCTGAAAAGCACTGCATTAAAGTGGGATATGACAACTTTCTGATTCCTTCTTGTTTACTTGTAGAGGTTTATTTCTAGGCATGCCAAGCTTCACTTTTGTCTCATTTCCTTTAATAACTTCAAAAATGTAAGTACACTGACTTGACTGCAAAAAGCCTTTCTCCACTTAGGTATATAAACCCACCAAACTGTTTCTTTTTTCCCCTCACAGCTTGCAAATAAAATAAGTGATTCTTGAGTTAAAATCTTGACTAATAAGAACTTGTTCCTGGCTCCAGAACTACAGGCTCAGAGAGCTTTTCTGTTGCACACATGCACAGTAATTGACTTTACAGTGCTGCTGGTTCCAAGGGATGTAGTTCTGTTCTGGAGCTTTGTTGACAGGGGGAGACAAGGGCTGATAAAGCAAAGACTGACAACAGCTTAACCACAACACTGTTACCTCAGGCCTCAGTGTTGTATTTGTGTTTTGTTCCTGCCCCTTGAAGTGACTGAAACAGTATTATGAAAATATTTTTGTGCAGGATTTCAGTATTTATAGGACACAGAGGAATTACAGGGAGAAGGCAAGGGATTTTGTGGCTGGATCAGAAGGGGAGACTTTGCCAAGAATTGTTTTGAATGCATTCATTATATGTGCAACTCCTCTTTTTTCTATTCTTTCTTTTCCAGGAGAGGAAGGAACACAAACGCACACAGAGAGCAGCAGCCAAGAAGCTGAAGGACAGACAAGATGCCAGTCTTGCACATCCACATTTCTCAAGCTTATTTGGAGATTTCTGATCATTCTGTCCGTCTCTTCCTCCTGGGTGGGGACCACACAGTTTGTCAAAATCACATTTGAGACCTTTGACTGTCCTTTTTTCATGACTTGGTTCTCAACAAACTGGAACATTATGATTTTTCCCATTTATTATTCTGGGCATCTTGCAACTGCACAGGAAAAGCAGTCTCCAATCAAAAAGTTCAGGTAGGCTTTTGCCTGGCAATACTCCTTTAAACAATCTGATTTCTGAGGACCGAGATCACTGCTTTGCTCAGTTTGACCCATGTTGTCACAAGGCAGAATAAAGGTCATGCTGCAGAAAATCTCACTCATAAATAGTTTACAGAAGGCTGAAGTGATATATGCTGAAAAAATGGATAATTGACTGTTACAGAGTTTTCTAATGGGCTGAAAAGGTCAATAATTTGCTTATAATCTTGCTGTTATATTATCTAATATCTCTACATTTTGTGTTCTTGTCTGGATCAGGCCATTAATCTTCTGGTCCATTTGTGATAGAACAGTAGTGTTAAGTGCAACCAAAGCAGCTCACAGCCAAGAAAAAAGGTGCTCAGAGCTGGGAGGTGGTTTCCTTGTGGAAGATCATGACTTGTTTTCTATGGTCGGCAAGTATAGCAGAATAAAAACTGCTCTGTCCTCCTCCTGGATCATAGTATGGAGGAAGAACATCCTAATAACATTCTCTGCTCTCTTTGGTGTGGGGTAGGAGGTAAAGCAGTTCGCAGATTCTTGGTTTCCTCCCCTGTGGCTCTGAGGGGTAAGTTGGCACAGCTCAGTGGCTGTAATCCTGAGGAAATGGTGTGAAGACTTTGCCCTGTCTTCTGCCATGCTCCACATTGAAATATCTCTTCCTCTCTGTTGTGGATCAGGGAAAGACATCCCTCCATTTCCAGCCTTTCCTTACATCCCATGGCTGCATGTTGTAATTGAACTCTCAACCTCAGGTGCAAAGGTGTCCACAGCACTAACATTAGGCTGCAGGGCTGGAAATTTGTAAATTCCTCTTCAGTAGCCACTGGGGAATCCCAGAAATACAAGGTTAGGGTGGAACCCAAAGAAATCATCCAGTCCAACCACTAGCACTGCAGCAGGACCAAACTGTCTTAGCTTCACCCTAGCCAGATATTAAGAAAACCATATCTAATCTGTCTTCAGGGCTTGAAAGTACCAACACATTCTGGGACAGTTCATTTCACGGTTCCTCCTCCACTTCCATTATTCTTCTGATCTGACAGTGACGTAAGAGCTGCTTTAAAGGATGGAACAAAATTCAGCTTGCCAAGAGATAAAACACCTTGTCCATGGAGGGAAGAAATTCACAGCATCATTTTGAGCTGGAACCTAGTTCTGTTATTCCAGTGCAGACTTGGTTTGAAAACAATCTTATTGACTTCAGCAGAATTGTCTGTTCCACCAGGTATTAACCAGCACGTGGCCTGTACCTGACTCCCACTGACAGAGGGTTCAGCACAGCTGTCACTGAGCACACAGGGAATTCAATTTGTGACTGTCAGGCTGGAGTGTAGCAGGGCTAAACCTTTGCCTTGGTTGTTTTTGCCAGGATCTGGGATGTAATTTGGCCCTAAATTATCATTTCTGTCAAATCAGCATGACTGAAATTGAACAGTTGCACTTAATTAGCTGCTTCTCTGCAAACCCTGGTGCTTTGTACATTAATGATACCTTCATTCAGATTTTTGCTGGAGTGTTTGTGAGAACATTCACAGTGTCAGCTTGGATTCTGCATATGGGGTAAGGTAATAACAAATGCACAGCAGGTAAGAAAGAAGGTGAGAATAAATATCCCTGCAGATAGATTCTCTGCATTTGGTTGGTTTTCTTTCCATCGGAGCGAAACTTTAGGCAAAGCATTTGTGGCAATGCATTAAACAACTGTGCTTAAATAATTGATACATTTCCCCAGCTGTTAGGAGTTCAGCCTTTAAAGCTGAGGGCACATGCTTACATGCCCAGAGGAATTTCTGCACACACAGAGATGTGCAGCGGCTCTGGAAGTGTGGAATCAAGAGATTGGTGTTAGAACTGATGAGCATCTTCCCAGCGTATTTCTTATTCCAGATATGTCAGGAATTTGTATCCCTAGGTAAAAGTGATGATTTTATCATGGATGATTTTATCAGGCATTGGAATAGGTTGTCCAAGGGGGTAGTGGAGTCACCATCCCTGGAAGTGTTTAAGAGGTGTCTGGATCTGGTGCTGGAGGATGTGGTTTAGGGGTTACAACAGTGACAGGTTAATATTGGACTTGATGATCTAAGAGGTCTCTTCCAACCTTGATGATTCTATGATTCCATTTGGTCTATGCCTTGTTACAACTTGACTATCCAAACTCTTCCTTGGATATAGGATGGACATCTCTTCAGGATGAGTTACTGATTTTCTGATGACTTAACTGAAAAGCAACCCTTGTAGATTTTAAATTCAGAGAGTCATATGTTTACTTTGGAAAGGATCTTTGGAGGTCATTTAACCCAACCTCCTACCCAATACAGGGGTATTTTCAAAGCTGCATCAATTTTTTATATATTTACTTTGTTTGTGTTCTTGATATTGTTCCTGTTACAAAGCATTTCATTACATTTTGTAATATTTTTTTTGTTGCTCTGTTTGCTGGCTTTATTCCTGTGGAGTAGCTAATTCTTGTCAATAAACCTGTCCTGCAGTGAATCCAGGCCTGCCTCAGAGTCCAGAGGTGATTTGTCTTTGTGTTTCTGGAGGATGTAGTTACTCGCGAGGAGCTTTAAAGACATCTGACATTTTGTCCAGCAGATATTCCCACTGGATCTGAACAAACAGTGTCTATGATATCTTGGCAGAGATCAGTGATTGTATGAGTGACTTGCAGAGTGCTGCCCTGGGCTGGCAAAGCTGTAGACAGCCACTGTTCCTTTAATAAATCCCACTTGGAACGATTGGAGTTGCTGTCACCAACTTAAGATTGGCTTTCTGGAAGGTTTAGGCCCCTAAGTACTTAAAGGAGCTACAAGAGAGATGGACTTGTGCCAAGGGCCTGGAGTGACAGGACAAGTGGGAATGGCTTCAAGCTGACAGAGGGCAGGGTTAGATCAGATATTAGGAAGAAATCCTTCCCTGTGAGGGTGGTAAGGCACTGGCACAGGTTGCCCAGAGAAGCTGTGACTGCCCCAGCCCTGGGAGTGTTCCAGGCCAGGTTGGATGGGGCTTGGAGCAAACTGGTGTAGTGGGTGGCAACCCTGCCCATGGCAGGGGGATGGAACTAGATGGTCTTAAAGGTCCCTTCCAACCCAAACCATTCTATGATTCAATTATTATAGTATTTGGGATTATAAATTGTGTATTTCTTGCCTTTCACAGTTTACCTTAGAAATCAATATTGTGGTCTTAGAAAATAACTCATGGTCATTAACTCCCTGCTGTCTTTTGGTAAAATATCTTGGTTGTCTTGAGGCAGCAGACACAGCTCATGGTACCCCCTCAATATTGTAGATAAAAGGTATATTCCACATAAAGGGTTTGAAACTCCTTCCATTTCTGGTGGATCAAATGATCAGAAAGCTCAGCAATAGGAAATCTAACCCTGTCAGTATTTACCACAGCAGACTGCACAGACTTGACTTAAGATACTAACAGAGCTGTGATTTGGAATAGGTGGATGATACTAATTTTGCCTCCCCATCTGCCACCTTGGCTTCTCAAGGACAAACACTGTGACATTCAGCATCTTCCTGCCAGAATATACCCACGGTGTAACAGGTGAGGTGAGTGCTACAGGTGCTCTGCAGCCTTGAGGCACTGAAAAGGGAGAGTGTTGGTAGGTGCAGGTTTAATGAATACAAACATGTTGGGAAAAGTTGGTTTCCTAGCAAGCAGGATAGCAAGAAGTGAGCAACACTTGAAGTGAAAACAGAGCCATAAGTAGCTTGTATTTTCAGTCATCTGCAGGTTTGTCACCCACAAATCTCTCCCTCTGTGTTGCAGCAGTAGCTCAGTCCAACTTTCTCAGCCACTTATGGAATAGCACTGCAAATCCAGATCTTCACTGTGAAGGGCTTTTCAGAGAAGGGACAAGGCTCTCTGTTGCCTGAAACTGCTCCAACCCTGAACAACTCAACAGTAGGGGTGAAGACCATCAACACAAAACTAGGCTTCCCATGGATGACTCCTGCAGGAGACAGCATTCCTTGGTGCTGCCCCCTGAGCCAGGCACTGCTCATATGAGAGACTCCCACAGAATTCCCTTTCCTTTTGCTCCAGCTCTTGAGCAGACAAGTACACCTGGACAGGCTCTTTCTTAATGCTGGATTCAGCCAGTCCTGAAAACCAGTTCACCAGTGTCCTCTGTTTGGTGTGTGTCTCCTGCAACAGAGCTGGAAGATATTTTATTGCTGCAGATGCCATCATGTAGAAAGAAGGACTGAATGACTTGTGCTCACAGAAGGTCCTGCAGTGCTGCTTGCTGCCCTAATGTCACTGTGGCCTTGCCAAGTTCTAATCTGGGTGATATAATTACAGTCTCTGTATTCCTACTGCCCCAGGTAGCATCTGTGAGCTGTTTCTTCTGTGAGCTGTTTAAAAACAGCTGCTGGGTTTCACTCCAGAGGTTTCAGTGCTCTCAGGGGTGAATAAGCCCATTCTTGCACAGGGACTGGCACCAGAATAGACAAGAGGCCACACAGACTATTTAGTGGGTGCCAGAGGCAAAGCTCCATTACTGCCTGAGGTGCTGAAATTCCTGAGAGCATGGCACACTGCCCAGAGCTGATGGCTGAGGGCTACCTGCAAATAAAAAGAGCTATTTATGTTAGAGGGCAGGTTTTAAATAGACTTCTTGTGCATTTGAAAATAGTTTGTGTCATAGTTTCAGGGTCAGCTGCCCTTAAACATGTCTGTGCCTTTAACTCAACAGCCTGCAAATGATATTTTTGTGGGGAGGGATGCAGGGAGCCCTCTCTCCTGAGCCCAGGGTTTTAATCACTGCCATGTCTGATGACTGCTGCAAGTTTAATTTTAGTTGCATGTCGAAGAGGCTGAGTTAACCACTGAGCACCCAGCCCTCACAAAGCCTCAGGCAATCTGCTGTAGCCATGACTGGGAAAATATTCTCCCCATCTCCTCATTGTCTGAGCATTATTCATGGAGCTCTCCTAGGCACAGAAGTGAACTCATCAAGACTCTGTCTCGCTCAGCACGACCCTGTCACAGTCTTTGCTGTATGTTCTTAATTGAGAGGTGAGGAACCACCAGCTCCTGTTTTGTCTGGTCACTGTACACTGGCTGTGTGTGACAGAGGCTCTTCCATCTGCTTAAGCAGCTCATTGCCTGGGGCCTGTGAAGTATTTCCAGATTTCTTTTCCTAGCTGTGAATCTCTGCTCATCCCTCCCATTGCTTCTGGGGACTCAGAGATAAGTGACACTGCTGGAGCTGCCACAACTGCCTCTCCCAAATAGCTGATCAGCCCAGAGTCCAACCCAGAGTAATATAATAATCACTGAGCCTTCCTCCTTCCAGGATTCACCCTGTCAAGGGCACTTTGAACTCCACCCTCCTGACTCTGCTCTGGGTTTGTCTGTGTGCAGACATCCCAGAGATCTGCAGGACAGCAAAACCTGACCCATTCTGGCATCTGGGTACCTAACTGTGCCCTGCATTACTGTAGGCAGCCCTGACACCTTTCTCTCTTGCTTTAATACAGCACAGACTTGTTTCCTCTAAGATCCCGACAGCTTCTGGGGCAGGCTGGATTCACAACTATGTAATAATCCAATCATGCACCAAAACTAATGGCAGAATTCCCACTGGGCTGGAGAGAGCAGGTTCCATGCAGGTCTGTAGTTCACAACCCAGAGCTGTCCTAGCCAGGAGATGGGACATCCCAGCTCTGATGTCATGTAACGGTGACACAGACATGGTGCATCGACTTGTCTTGAGGTGAGAGTAGTCTGAGCCCAGAATCACCTTCTGCATCCACATAATTCCCAAAGGGAGTCATCTTTTAAATATAAACTTCTGTATCTCTGTGTCAAGGAACATTGAAGTGCTACCAGTGAGCGCATTCTCACACAGGGAACACTCATCACCTTTAACTCTAGTTAAAAATCAGTGATACAAAAGCCTACAATCAAAGTTAAGCATTCATTTATTTGCTTCACTGAGTATTTGCTTTGCAGCTCAGGTAAATGATACACACCACTAGCTGTTCATTTTCCTGTTTGAAACATTTCTGTCCTGATCTTTGGAGAACAGGTTGATTTCTGAGAGTGTCGAGGTCAACTAGAGTGAAGGAGATAATTAGCAGATCTGCCTGCCTGAGTGTTAACTTGTTGGACACCCTGACACAGAGTTTAAGAGTGGAATTTATAATCACCAGAAATGACTGCTTTGTACCCCAGGTTGTCTTAGTGGCAGCAGGGAATGAATTGGTATTAAGTAGAATCATAGAATTATTTAGATTAAGATGTGGCTGATCTCATTTATTACACAGATGTTATTATTCTACTTTCCTCAAAATGAGAGTGATGGTTTCAATATTAATAGTCAAAAACTACAGTGTTTCTAACAGCAGAATTCCCAGGAATTACTAAAAATGGTTGTGGCCCTGAAAATTATTTTGTCTTCCAAATCAGGATAATTATCACACTGTCCCCCCCACTCCCTAAATAACAAGTGGGTTTGAGTTCACAATGCAATGCAGTCTTTGAAGTTGCTAATTAGTTCTGCATAATGAATGTTTTAGCAATCTTCCAAACACAGCCATGTTTGGCAGTGAATACTTTGGGGCCCTGAGGCCTCATGGCACTTAGGTTGGTCCCTTCATGTTGTCTCAGAAGGATTTGCTGCAGGTTGATGATGCCTTGGTTCACTCCATTGCTGTTTGGGTTGCATGAAATGTTCACTTGTGGGAACTCTCAGGTTCTAAACAGACATGTCACAGAGCCTGCCATGTCAAGAAGTGAAGCATACTGGGAATATCTTCAGGAATACCTTTAACTGAGAATGCAGAGTTGCTAAAAAACATCCTTCCCCATTTGGGAGAGGTAGAGATGTTCCAGGAGGGGTTCAGTGATGCAGGCCAGGTTGCATCTGACCTGGGAGCTTTGAGTAATCTGGTCTAGTGGAAGATATCCCTGCCCAGAGCAATGGGATTGGAACTAGATGGTCTTTAAGGTCCTTTCCAATCCAAACCAATTGAGGATTCGATGTGCCTTTACTTTAGCTGTCCTTAGTATCCCCTTAGCCCATGCAGGTGCCACTTTGTGCAGAGCAGTGTCTACTGAGCTGACCCTTCTCTTTCATGAAATCCTGAGAAGCAAACAGGTCACTTAAGTTGTGTGTGACAGTATTTGGGAAACTAGAGACTTTGTTTGCAACTTAATCCACAAGGAAATGCCTTTTAGCAATCACAGCTTTTCACTGTATAATAAAACGAAGTTGTTACTCTTCCCTCCCTTTTCCTTCCTCCTCTCACTCTCCTGTTTGCCTGACTCAGTCCTACTGCCTTGTGGGTGGTGTGTCTGGCAATTCTCAAAGCTTACTTGGCCATACATGAGAATATATTTCAATAAGAATAAAAACAGGGTTTGGAGCAGTGCAAATAAAAATTGGCAAGCCACAGAGAAAAAATGGTGGTTATAATCCTTGTGCTCACGGCCTCGGAGGCAGAGTCTGGGAACTGTCAGAGCATTACAGATAACCTTCATTTCAGTGTGAGTCTCTGGGATTATTGTTGCACAGAGTGTGATTATTCCAGGTAAGTTACTTCTTTTCAATTTGCAAAATTGCTGTTTTAAGAAGATTGGAGGTTATTTTCTCTACGTGAATTAAATAATGGATCCTCGTGGGTGCACAGAGTAGTTAGGAAAAGCACTTAATTGAACGTGATAAAAGTCTAATGAATGTTTGTTGTGCTGGAGTGAATGTGAAGGCAAATCCTAGCTGAGACTGAAACTCTTCTCTTTTCCTAGGGAATGCAGTCGGATTTTTGGTGAAGATGGTCTGACGCTGAAACTCTTTCTTAAAAGGACTGCTCCCTTTTCTATTCTGTGGACTTTGACTAACTACCTGTATTTACTGGCTTTAAAGAAGCTGACAGCCACAGATGTCTCTGCCCTGTTCTGTTGTAACAAAGCTTTTGTCTTCTTGCTTTCTTGGATCGTGCTGAAAGACAGGTTCATGGGAGCAAGGGTAATGATGTGCCTCATTTTCCACTCTCTCATGGTTTTGTAATTGCACTTACATCCATAAGCTATTGTGCTGCCATAGTCCTGCTGCATTATGGTATAGATATGCCATGAAACCATTTCTCATTTGTTTTTGTGATGCAGACCTAAGCCTCAAGATCAGTTAGAGATCTCAGACTCCAGAGGTAATTCAGTGTGGGGATTTCAAGAAGCTATTACAGCTAAGTGTAATTTAATGGATTAGGATAGAAAAACTTCCAGTTTTGTATAAACCTGTTCTGTCTTGGCTTACAGTGCTGAAGTTTAGGTAATTTTATTTTAAACTTAGTGATGAATGTTTAGGTTCTAACCAAAACAGTTTTATTGCTTGTGTGGAGAGATCACTGTTCTCAATGTGAAATGTTATGCTAGCCTATGACTTTTTGCATACACATAAATACATGTGCATATGCCAAAATCAGTTTAAAAGGGACACAACTGTTTTGTGTGAAGGTGTATTTGGCACTAAACTGTTACAGAACTCACTGGCAGTAGTATGGACCCTGAAAAATTAAAGAAAGAACTTGAACAAAATGTTGTGCACCTGGATCTGGGGGAAGCAATATGTTCCTTGTAATTTTACATACACAAATCTCCTAACATTCAGCAGCTTAAACTGTTGACTTTATATCTTGGCTAAGGAGTAGTGAAGGTTTCTGCCACTTCGTTGATGCAGGTTCCTCCATTGGAATGACTCAAGGCCTGATGATTGTGTTGGGTACAATCCTGACTGAACTATCAGGAGCCTCAAACTTCCTTAGGCACTGGCTGGGGCCAGGTGTGATGCCTGTGACCAGAAGAGGCCACCAGCAGTTGGATTTAAGATCCATGGAAAGCATGATGGATCAGGACACTGATTACATCACTCACATCTGAGTGAGTTTGTTTTTAAGAAATGAGCACAGCACCTTTTTTTTTCTATTAATAGTGTGATAAAATGGTTCAGAAATGAATGGAAAAGGCATCCTGGTGCACAGGCATCTGAGCTAGCTCTTAGAGCAGCCACCACTGCTCTACAGTGCACTGAGCAGAGCAAGTTGAGGAGGTGAACCACTGTTTCACCTTCAACCACAGTGCCCTTGAAGGTAAGGACATGGATGTTTCACCTTGCAGTGCTAAAGCCAAACACCTCTGTATCTGTTTCATTTACAACTTGAAATATAAAAGCACCAGGTGAATGTGACCTACCCTCAGCCTGCTGATGACTAACTCAAAGAGCAAGCAGGGTTTGAAACCCTCAGTTCTTCTCTACAGAAATAACAGGAACAGTAACTTCCCTCCTCTGCCCCTTGGTCATCCCAGGTTCCAGGTGAAAAAATAGGAAATTTTGTATGCTTCAAGCTTATTTTTGTCTCAAAGCAACATCTTTCTAGAAAAGCAAGCATAGCTCTTGTGTTTTCCTACCCTGCTCTCTTAAAGAAACCTAGAAATAAAAGCTATTTTGAGGTATTAGTTATTTTGCACTGAGTAAAAAAAGGCTATTATAAATATGCATTAGTATTAATGCTGTAAACACTGTGGGGTTTACACAAGAAAAACCTGACAGGAAAAGTGAGCAACAAATTCTGCACATAAAAGAAACTGGGTTTTGCTGCTAACAGGCAGATTCTGGATTCCCATTGCTGAAAAGGTAATTCACAGCATTTTCCAGCAGCTCTGCTGCCAGAATAACACTTAATGGTGTTAATAACCATGCAGGAGAGTGTTTGAGAGCTAAAATATGACAAAGCAGCACAGACCAAGCCTTCTGTGCTTGGGATGCCTCTGTTGCTTTCACCCACAGCCTTTCAGAGAGCAAGGGTAATTAGGTTATTTGGACAGTAAAGAGACCAAAATAAAGGCTTAATCATATACTCTGAGCCAGTATTTGTGAAAAGGCACTCAGCACCCAGGAGCACAGCCAGCTTTTCAAAGGAGCTCAGCTCCTAGGAGCTCTTCCAGCTCTTCAGAGCCACTGAGCACATCCACAGCACATCAAGATGGGGATGGAGCTGGTGCCTCTACACCTGAGACAGCTTTCATCTGCCTGGGCTTGAGCAGCCAGCCAGGCTGCCTGGTGTTGCTGCAGGCAGTCTCCACACTGCCCAAGGATGCCCAAGAGCATGTGGGAGCTACACATCCAACTGCCTGACATCTCTCCAACCCCCCCACACACACCTGGGAAGCAGCTGCTGGCCAGGCTGGATGGCTGGGGTTTCAGATGTGCTGTCTAGAGACAAACCTATTTTGGTGGCCACCTTATAGTATGGCATAATCATACCTGTGAAAGCATCAAGTAGCACACAGAAATTTGGCTACTCTGGCTGTGTTTGAGCTACCTGGAGTGTGTGTTCTGCAGTGAGAGCCACGTGCCTCGGTGGTGATGCTGTAGCAGGGGAAGAAGCTGCACCCAACTCGAGAGAGAGGAACATCAGCTGGAGAGAGAGTATTCATGTATAGCTAACCACCTCAAGTTGTGCCAGGGGAGGTTTAGTTTGGATATGAGGAAAAAAATTCTTTACAGAAAGGGTGGTCAGGGACTGGAACAGGCTGCCTAGGGAAGTGGTTGAGTCACCATGCCTGGAAATGTTCAGAAAATGTATAGATGTGGTGCTTAGGGACATAGTTTAGTGGTGGATCTGGTGGTGTTTAGTTAATAGTTGGACCCAATGAGGTATTTTTACATCCTTAACGATTCTCTGATTCTATTTACTTATAAAAGTAGTGCAGGTAGAGCTTAGGTACTTTGAAGTACTTACTGCCCTGTACAAGGACTCTCAGCACAATCCTTGCCTGCACCCTAATCTTCACTTGGACCCTTCTGAACATCTCTCTGACAAACAGAAGAGACAAAGATGCAGGCTAATTTCATTCCTCACCTAGGAGGCTGCAAAAGGAAGTTACTCTCTCCTTCCATTAATTAAAAGCCTTGTTTAACAAACTGGCAGCTGCAACAACTGCCTTTGCTTGCCTGTGACCTTTCTGCTGCTTGTCAGTGTAGGGCAGCCTGCAGGATGTGCTCTCAGCTTTCTAAAGCAAACACCTGAGGGTTGCCAGGCAGAGGTCAGTTGTGCTGGTGCTGTGGTGTGTAACATACAGGAGGAGCTTTGAATATGAAACTTAAATAATGTTCTTGCTGGTTTTGATGTCAGATGAGTATTTTAGGAGTTAAATCTCAATCCTTTCCCTTGGAAGAAGGGGATAACTACATTGGACTCCTCTGTTAGCCTTGTGAGACACATTGCTTGAAATATTGCAGCTGAAATATTCCAGCTGACAGCTGAAATGCTGCATCTGAATTTATGTGCAAGGCAAAGACGTGTAGTGCAGCCTGAGATGAAACCAGCCAGGCAGTGTAGCAGGGCAGGGGCAGCTGCTGGACACTGAGAGGAGGGACCATGCTGATGTTTGAGGGGTCCTGGGAGTAATTTGCCATTGCTTCAAGGCTAGGACTCTTGTGATGTCTCCCAGGATGGCCTGACTGCTGGGATGTGTCATTCTGGAAAGGAGAGGGAGGAAACCACTTGGTTACTAAAGTAACCAAGACCTAAAGCTCTTCCAGGTCTCATCAAACCACTGAGAGGCTGTGATTGCATATGTGACTCCAGCCCACACCATTAAGTTGGAGGACCTGGGTTTCTCAAGCCATTTCATGGCGAATTTGGAGGTGTCAATGGTATCCTCAGGTTTAGGTGCCAGCTTTTTTGATCTGTATCTTGGAGTTTAGATGTTTTAAATGGAAGTAAGTTGGGATACAGACTTGCAGTGTGGTTTGTGACTCTGCCTTTGGCACAGCCACTGTGATGTGAGGTGGGTACCTGTGTGACTCAGGTACTGGTCATGGTGAGAGGGAAATACTTAAAGCTGCACTCAGGAGATGAGTTGCCCTGTGAAGATGTTGGCCTGGATATCTATGGGATTTAGGAGCACTAACATTTTTACCTGTAGCTCTACCCTGGGAGTTGATTCTGGGTTCCTCATTGTCTCCAGTGTGTGAACACCTTTACCTGAGTCAACCATGTGTCCCTGTCCTGTGTGTCCCTTGAAACTTGGTTTGACTCTACTGACTGGCTCTGTTGAAAGTGTTTTGTAGGATTTTTGTCCCACAAAATTTTACTGCTCCTCCTGGTTCACCTCTGCTTGGTATGAGTATCTGTGGGTTATCAGTCAGACTTCCCTGCAGAAGGGCACATGGTTGGATCAAGATGCCTTTAAAGTCTGTAGGGTGAAGCACATGAAGCTTAGGTTTGGCTAGGAGTAAATATTTCTTTATTGAAGTTTAACGAGATTTTCCAGGAAGCAAGTGTCCATCTCACACTGGAGTTGGCTCAGGAGTTGTACACTGATTCAGGAAACACCTTTTCCTCTGCACTCCATGGAGACTGAGTGTCCTGGAGTTGGCTCAGGAGTTGTACACTGCTTCAGGAAACACCTTTTCTTCTGCACTCCATGGAGACTGAGTGTTCAGTGTCTTTGAAATTCAGACTCCATATGTACCTGCTTAGGGCAATTAGGTAGAGAGGAGGAGTTTTTCATGGAATAAAACACACTGGGCTCCCTACCACTTCCTTAAGTTCCTTGGAGTCAAGAGCTGGAACTTCAGATATGGCATAGTTATTTTTTCCTGTTCTTTTTCGTTGAAGCTCCTTAGATGCTCTGTCTGGGATTTTCAAATGAGACAAAAACCTAAGCACAAAGGTAAAGGCTTCATGAAGAAATGTGGTCATGTCTGTCCAAGAAAGCTGGCAGGGCACAGCCAGAACAGCCTGGAAAGGCTCTCAGTGGTACCCTGGTTTTCCACAATACAGGCGTTATTCCCCTAGGCTGATGTCCAGGAAGGTTGGCCATG